TCCCATTTGCGGCGGCGGGCGAGGGGGATTGTCTGTTGCCTCTTGCAGGACACACTTGTAGGCAACTGCCGATCTCTTTTTATGCTGTGCAAGCTTTTCACAGTCAGACACTATTTTGTGAGAACAAATTCTAATCAGAGCCTACCAGTAATTTCACTTTGCTGGAAATAAATATTATTTAGGAGGCGCTTCTGTCGTCACACAGCTCTAGCTGTTCTTCAGTTTCTGACCAAATCTTCGTAATCTTGGAGTCCTGCGTCCAGCTCTGGAGCCCTCAGCACAAGAAGGACATGGAAGTGTTGGAGTGGGTCCAGAGGAGGGCTACAAAAATGATCCGAGGGCTTGAGCACCTCTCTTATGAGGACAGGCTGAGAGAGTTGGGCTTGTTCAGTCTGGAGAAAAGAAGGCTACGGGGAGACCTGATTACGGCCTTCCAGTACCTAAAGGGGGCCTATAGGAAAGATGGGGAACGTCTTTTTAGTAGGGCCAGCTGTGTTAGGACAAGGGGAAATGGTTTTAAACTAGAACAGGGTAGGTTCAGGCTAGATATAAGGAAGAAATTCTTTATAATGAGGGTGGTAAAACACTGGAACAGGTTGCCCAGAGAGGTAGTGGAGGCCCCATCCCTGGGAACATTCAAGGCCAGGTTGGATGGGGCTCTGAGCAACCTGATCTAGTTAGCAGTGTCCCTGCTCACTGCAGGGGGGTTGGACTAGATGACCTCTAGGGGTCCCTTCCAACCCTAAACATTCTATGATTCTATGATTCTATAACAGGCATTGTTTCCAAGTCACTCAGCCATAAATACTGAAAAAATATCTTATTACAGCTGAATCCTGGAATTTTGTTTTCCTGTTGCTGCTTAGTCACTCCACAAAATTTGAGTCAGTAAAGAAGGCACATAAGAACTTTCCTGTAATCATGAAAATGGTTGTGCATACTTACTGGTATTGCATGAAAGCATTATGAGCCACTTACACTGTATGACAGCTCCAGATGTTTCTGGCTGTGTTTGAGTGAAAATAGAGTATCTGTTACTAAGAGGGCTGTAACTCAAAGCAGCTGATAGGAAATAAATTGCAGTTATTTGCACTATATTTGTATCTGTTGATTTTTTTATTAATCTTTTATGAGAAAGTAGTGGTTATGTTTGGAAGTAGAAGTATCAAATTTATTTTGTCTGTAGGGTCAGCTATCATTTCCAGGGGTTCTATTCTCTTTCTTCCACAGATCAGTGTAAAGTTTTGTTGGTGTTTAGTGTCTTGTCTTCATATTACAGATGAAGACAACTCAATCACTTTATTGAATTCTTTTTTTTTCCATTCAACTTTCTAAAATGATCAGTAATGAACTGTTGTTCATTTTACTGTCAATGAGTCGTAATTGTATTTTACAACTGATGTCACAATATAGAGAAAAGAGAGGAAATTGCATCCCCAGATCTTTGTTTCAAGCTACTTTTAAACCTAGAAAGACAATGCTGTGTTGCCTCTGAACTGGTAACATACTTTAATTTTAGCCAAGGAAGCAAATTAAAAAAAATTGTAAGCAATTGAAAGCAATCCCTTGCAACAAATACACTTGGACAACTTTATTTTTAATATTTTCTAAAAATATGTATAGTATGCATTGACAAGATTAACTCTGTCTTTGTAAGTAAAAAAAATCTTTAGAACTTTGCATGATAATGTAGAGCAAGGCAGTATTTATTAGAACAATATATCTAAAACAATGCTTACATTTATTACTCTCTGTTGATACTACTGGTTTCCAACATGGCTTTTGTAACAGTTGTGGTTATAAATTAGGTTTTTTTCTAAGAAAATTTATTGTGAAATGCTACATGGATTTACCAATAAATAACTTTATAGGGTTCTGCAGGAAGACATGGACAGCGTGGGCCATTAGGACCAAAGGTACCCTATGTAACAAGGAACACTTGAAAGCTAACCTATTTTGCTTGGGCATATATTTTTTATTTCTATATTCACAGCATTTGCCTTAAAAGAGCTTTTGTTTAACATTCATATACTAAGTATGGGACTAATTTTGTTCCTGTTTACACTGGGTACCCACCCAGAATGTGTATTAATAGAATTATTTCACATCCACACCAGAACAGGGAGTAAATACCAGCTGGGCTGTTACATTCCAAGGCACTTGATGTAACATGGCATTTTTGTTTAATTTCTTTAGGACATTTGGCAGTTTCAATTTGTCGTTCATGTATACATCATTCTGGTTTCTAAGGGTTTAAATGTATGCTGTTGAAAGAGAAACCTGCAGCGAGAGACTTTCTGGCATGGTCCCAGAAAATGATAGGAAAACACTCTGGAAGGTGCTGGGGGGAAGGGAGATGTCATGACTACTTTGCCTTGGTTTTGATTTGAGCTCAGTAGTGACTGAGTTTTTCCCCTTTGATGCTGCTGTTGGTTAAGTAATCCATGAGAAAAAATGGAGAGATGAAAACCAGAGAAAAAAATGGCAGATTCACAGAATGGGGCCTTAGACAGGAAGAGGCTTTTTCTATTCCTATGTAAAGCTCAAGTACCACTCAGGTTAATAGCACAGCATGACAACACCTTTTCAGCACCTTAAATGTGGAGTTAAAGAAATTTGAAGTCTTCATTGCCGTGGGAAATGACAGCAACATTGAGGGACCAGGAAATGGAAACGGTAGATGGGGGTCCCTATTCCCTCCTCCTAAAATTTACACCTGAGCACACACAGAACAGGTCACTGACTACCCAGAAAGCACATTGACAGCAATAACTGCATGCATCTGTTTGATAGAACAACAGGAATCAAAGATCTGGCCAGTCCCTTATGTCTCAAGTCTATAGAGCTCAGCTTACAGGGCTGAAAAAAGTCCTTCCTTTGGGTACTACTCCTGTTAATGCTGGAGGACCACATTACTTATGAGTGAAAAAATCAACTATTTGCACAGCTTGTGTCTGTGAAAGACACTGCAAAGGACTGACTAGAATAGATGTGCTCTCACATGTTGCTCTATGGACATGAGTAGGTGCTGAGTCTCCATTTTTTGTTAAGAACTTATTCTCTGCCCTTAACTACAAATTTTGTTTCTAAAATATTGTGGAAATACTGTTTTGCAAAGACTTCAGAAACTGAAGTAGCATGATTCCTAGGATTTAGGAACTGGACTGTCTCTGAAAAGGTGATCATAAACCTTAGCCAAGAGACTTCACCTACACTAAGATTTTAGTTGTTTAATCTTGAGTCATTCATCCCCAAGATCATGGAGACATGGAAAGGAACATACAGTTGCCTGACATCTTACAAAATCAGGCACACCACAGCAAAATTAATATAGAGTAGTTATAATGCACTATCATTCTCATGGGGATAAATTTTACACCCACTTTTCATGGTTATAAATTACTTCACTAGGCAACAGTAGCAAAATACAACCACCACCCACTTCCAAAAACCAAGAGCTAACACATCATGAGGAGTTTAAGGTATAGTTACGTTTCATGCATCCTTCATCCTTCGAATACCCCAGACTAGTAGAGCTGTCAGAGAAGGCCTACTGTGATCAAAGTTTTTCTCTCTTTCCTAGCAAGTAAGTATAGATCCAAATTCTGCTTTCACTTTTGTTATTTCAAAAAGCTGTTTTCATTAAAAAGCAGTACAGTCTTCATGCACTCCTAAAAGACAGTAAGCATAGACATAGAATCATGGAATCACAGAAATGTTTAGGTTGGAAAAGATCTTTAAGATCATCAAGTCCAACCATTAACCTAACACTGCCAACTCTACCACTAAACCATGTCCCTAAGTGCCACATCTAGATGTTTTTTAAATACCTCCAGGGATGTAACTCCACCACTTCCCTGGGCAGCCCGTTCCAATGCTTGACAACCCTTTCGGGGAAGACATTTTTCCTACTGTCCAATCTAAACCTCCCCTGGCGCAACTTAAGACCATTTCCTCTTGTCCTATTACCCGTTACTTGGCAGAAGAGACTGACACCCACCTCGCTACAACCTCCTTTCAGGCAGTTGTAGAGAGTGATAAGGTCTCCCCTCAGCTTCCTGTTCTCCAGGCTAAATAACCCCAGTTCCCTCAGCCGCTCCTCATCAGACTTGTGCTCCAGACCCCTCACCAGCTTTGTTGCCCTTCTTTGGACACGTGATATCTTCTCTATCTCACATGAAATAAACTAAATTGCATGTTCTCTGTCTGTAATGAAGCCAAGGAATCATGTCTACTCAGAGCTAGAGTACTGCAGAATCAGTCCCAAAGCACTCATTACATTGCTCGTGGCATGACGCAGTGGCTGGGTACAGGGGGAGAGCAGTATTGTGGGGGAGGCTGAGTTAACTGAGTTAACTGGATTGAAGGAAGATGGCGGAACGTTTGTGGAGACACAAGGTCATTGTGGCATTTGTAGATCTGGACAATGTTACCATGTGCTGATTTCAGACACCAAAATGAAAGTTCAGACACGTGGCTTGATAGATGCTCAGCAAATGTGTGGTGACCAGAAACTCTAAGATATGGGTGGTAACTGGGAGGTTAAACCCCCAGAACCAATTCACAAACATATGCTGAGCACCACTTTACCAAAAATATGCCCTATTTTTGCTAATAATTTTACTTCATTCAGTCTCTTTGTTTGTAAGGAAAGTAACATACATGTTTAAAATGCTTGTAATTACTGTTCACTTTGATATTTATGCCCTACTGTATCTCCGTTTCAGGGAGAAAGAGGCAACATCGGTCCACCAGGTTCAAAGGTGGGAAATTAATTTAATTTGATCTAAAATCTCAGTCATTTCTTCCTCTTAGTTTCCTTTCTTCTTGTAATGCACTCTGGGAATAATGAAGATTTCTTGCTCTGTCAGCATATTAAAGCCCAGGGAGGCTTCTCTGGCAAAACAGAACGCTTTCTCAGCTGAATTGTGATTATCAGGAGCCAGTGTAGCCTGTTGCTTAAGACTTCTGTTTAAAATATGGTTAAAATTGCATTTAAAATCCTCAGGTGCATGATGCCATGGTGTTTTGTGAGGCCACTTACATTTTCACCAGAACAAAAATGAAAATCAGCAAAGTTTATATAAGCTTTGCTTATATATGGCCCCATACTCCTTAATATCATGGTGTTTAGCTAGCACCCCACACCAGAACACTCCCTGCATGACACATGTCTGTGGTACAGTAGTAGATTCATGCAATGTTGTGCAGAGGCCTCAAGAGCCATGCACAACCCCAATCCAGTATTCATCACAGAGGCCACTGTTGTTGCCTATTTCTGTGCTAGAACCTGCTCATCATTCTGCAGCCAGGCTCCTCCTAATCCATACCTGATCACTCAGGAGATACAAGATTATAGAAACGGTGGTTAGAAGGACCTCCAGAAGTCATCTAGTCCCATATCACATTCAAAGTGGTATTATCACCAATGCTAGATCACATCAGCAATGGATTAGTCTCACTGAGACTTAAATACTTCCAGGGAGGTTACAAAACCTTTGTGGGTATCTTGTTCTGATGCTTCACTATCCTCTTTGGAAAGACAGTTTCCCTAATGTGCAGCCTGTACCTCCCAAGCTGTAATTTGTCCTAGCTGTCTAATTCACCCCATGCACCAGCATGCAACCTAGACCTACTGCTCTGGGTCTTCTAGACATGAAACCCCATTGGCAGGGAAACCTGCCAGTTTACACTGTTTTACACAGTGTTAGTACTGAAATGAATGGAGCTGGAGTCCTTCTTTCCTCTCCCTATCATTATCCCCGCCTGTTCCAGTTTGGACTCCTCTTGGAGCCCACCCCAAGGCTTCTGTTTGTATCTGTGCTGGTTTTTGCCAGTCCCTGGCTGACTCACATGCCTTTTGCAGGCATAAGCTAGCAGAGGACAGTGCTGGGACTCATAGAAAATAAAAAAATAAAATAAAACAAAATAAAATAAAATAAAGTAAAATAAAATAAAATAAAATATTTTGGACAGCACTGAAATCAAAAGTTGCTGCAGGAAACAAGATAAAAGCAATTATGAATATACCCTTCTGCTTGCTGGATATTTACAAGAGTATTATCACAGTCTTCTAGCAGCATCTGCTTGTTTATTTTTTAAAAAAAACAACAATATAGCAGGACTCTGCTTGCCATAAATTCCATCTGCTGTACATATTTTGAGTGTTGCCATTTCACAGAGATATTTGTCAGCATGGTAATTAAAGCTGATGCATTGATGCATAGGACATTATTTTAACTCTTCTTTCTAATCTGTTTGAGACTATAGATTATTTTCTTAATTATTATACATACAAGTGCTTTGTTCTGTGGTCCTTGTTCTAGTAATTACTATTGTTGATGTGATAGATGCATTTCAGACACATGCATCTATTGTAAGTGGAGTGACTACAGTGCTATTGAAAAACAATCTATCTCTTCAATCCTCAGATTAAAAAAGATCTTAGTCCTTTTATATTTGAGCAATATGAGCTTCATTCTTAAAATATGGAGGCAGTTAGAAATAAGGATGTCTCTGGACCGTTATTTACCATAAAGCATCTTACCTATCCTGGATGTTTTTTTCCAAATTAAATTTCATTAGGAAAATCAATTGGTGAAATTATTCAGCATTTGTAATAGTAGGAAGCTGATCTGCAGGTACCAACATGCCTGAAATGACAGCATTCTATTGCAGAAATGCTGTTGGTCCAAGGTTATTTCCTCTGCTCAATTACTTTTGCTGCAGATAGATAAATATAATTATAGATACATATAATTTTACACAAGCACTGATGAGACTTAAGTCCCAAGTACTGTTTTTACTAGTCATGTGCGAGCCTAAATCCCAGTAGTTGCTTAGGTGCCTAAATCCTATTAGCATTCAGAGACACCCTTTATCCTGAACTTGTCTATAAAATGAAAATTAGAGTGCTTCAGAAATTATACCTTGTCTTAACAAAATGACTGTTTATTCCTGAGCCACATTCTTTGCTGATCACGGGCAAAAAATAGAAATAACAGTGAGAATAGTCTTTCTTCATGAAGTGGACACGTGAAATGTTTTATGCTGGTGGTTCTGTAGAAAGGCGTAAGAAGAGAGAGGATTTTGCATCGTATGAACTGCTAATTTGAATTTCTTCTATCACACCGGAAATACAGCAGAGAGGACCATTTGACTTTGAATGCTTTGAAACTCTGTTGTTCTTTAAGACACTCCTATAGAGTATTAGATAATTCCAGTGATTTTATTGGGTCACATCCATCCATTCCAGTATCCTGTGTCCAACAATGTCAAAAGCGTATGCACTTTGACCAGATGCTTAGATCAATTTGACCTTATGAAAGGGCAAGTATTACATCATCGTTCTCCTGAGTGACCTCCTAGGCTCCAACAACTTGTGACTCAGGGACTTTCTCAGCTAGAAATGGTGTCTGAAGCAAAATTAGATCTCTTCAAGTGAACTTGATGTCTCTCCTGGAACTCATTCAAACTTCTGCAACTTACAAGACCTTGGAGCAAGGTGCTCTGCCAACTTAACTACACGTCCCACAAACTTCTTCCAGCTATTTCCATTTAATGCCCACTATTTCTTCTATTAGAAGTGTGAGTCCTTAACTACTCTCTACTTTTAGAAGCCTCTACAATATTCTTCACCCACGTCCTCATTTTTCTCTTTTCCTAGCTAAAGAATCATAGCTTATACATTCATGTCTTATATAGAAATCATTCTGTACCTTCCATTATTCCCATTGGCCTTTTCTGAAGTTTTTCTAGTTCCACTAGATCCTTTTCAAGATGGAAAATGTGAACAAACCAGTGCACAGAATTAAAGTTACAGGCATACAATAAGTATATACAGTGGCATAGTAATGTTCTGTGCTCCCAGGTACATTCAGTGCCTCTTCCTCCTCTTCCTCCAGCCAGAGAGTCACTTAACTGAAGGGTGGAAATAACCCATGAAATGTATTTCTGGGGAAAGCAACAGAATTCATCCTTTCGCTAAGCAGAGGTGGGAGCAGTGGAGAAGAATGATTGAAGCTGCATTAGAAAAACCAGCTGGGGGGAAACGGGGGGAAATGGCAGGACGAGTGGAAAGAGCAGATGACTAACAAGATGATGCTGACTCCATGGAGCCCCCCACAAACCTGCCTCCTAGTCCATTCAGAACCATACTGTGTCTCTCTCAAGAGTAATAGCCTCCTGCTTGTATGAAACTGAACACAATTTAGAGAGAATAACAGTATATTTGTTGTGCAGGGTATGCCAGGTACAGATGGAAAACCAGGCTTTCCTGGCATTGCTGGACATCCTGGAGTTATGGTGAGTAGGGCTATCATAATCTGTGACCACGTAACACACACCAAACCTGTCTTAAGGATCAGCAGGAGCTAGTACTGCTAGCAGTGTGTGGAGAGCTGAGCCTGGGCTTGTCCCGCTTAACCTGTAGCAGTTACCTCAGACACCAAACACAGGAGCAAGGTGTCCCTTGCCCTTGCCTCCCTCACCAGTCAGAAGTGATACAGGCATGTCCAGAGGCTAGTTCCAATTTTTTGCTGCCCCTTTTGCTTTTAATTATTCAGAAATCAGCTGTCTTTAATTATAGGGAAGCCAATAGGCTCATAGATGATTTTAATATATTTCTCATGCCTAGGAGCCACAAATATTACAGAGCTCTTTAGCTGGGAAGTCCCATGGCTCGTCCCCTTCGACCTTCCTCTCACTCGTGCCAGACAAGCTGTCTGCGTCCCCAAGTACAGTGAGTTGTATCGAGGGGCTAATCAAGCTTAGAAATAACCTGCCTGAAAAATGACTGTTTAGCTCACCTGTGTTCACCTGTCCGGTCCACTGGGCAATCCCGGACACAACTGAGGTGTTTAATGCTGAAAAAGGAAGGAGCAGCCAGGCGTGGCTGATTTCAGTGCAGTGAAAGAAAGTCTTGTTGAATTAATTCCCAGCTAATGAAATGTTCTGTGTGCACTTGCTTCTGATCATCTGTGAACTCTGTCAAGCACGCTGGGAAATACTTTTAAACATCAAATCCTCAGACGGTCTGAGTTGAAACCACTTTGCCTAATCTGTGGTTTGAGAAAGCTGGGGATCGGTCATTCTGTACCTGCATTTTACTGTTGTGCTTTTTGTGAAGCTAAAGAAAGCACATTTTCACAATTTTTCCTTTAAATCACTTACGCTCATTTTTTTTTTATCACATGCAGGGTCCAAAAGGGGAGAAGGGTGACCCAGGACCTCAGGTGAGACTGTGTGAATTTCATTCTTTCTGAGAAATCTGTGTGAAATGTAGTACTTAGTAAATGGGGTTTCCACCGTAATGCTTTTGAAATAGGGTGAACCAGGACAGGATGGGAACAGTATTGTGGGACCACCTGGACCACCAGGACCACCAGGACCAATCATAGCAATACCTGAGGTAAGCGTGTTTGTCAAGCATTTAAAGTCTCTATAGGCACAAGCAGATAATAAACTGGCAATTCTGCTGTTGATGTTCAGGTCATAAGTCTGCTCCTCAAAACAAAAGATCTCAGTACATCTCTGTATCAAGTGGATTTGTTTTGTAAAGTTGAAATAGGAAGGAAAGGGGGTGAAGAGCTTATATACAAGAATTATGAAGTCATGCTGAGAGCTTCTCACAAACTCTCCAGGTGATTCTGCAGGAGTTGTGAACATCAAATAAAAATCAACAGGGGAATATAAAACTGGGAATGTTTAAGAAAGCAAGGCATCTGAGACAGAGCACTATGTAGGAGAGAGATATGTTGTGTTTTCTGACAGGTGTCCAGTATACAAACCAGAACACCAGACTCTGTTGTGGAAGCAACAGCTAAAAGTACCAAAGGGTAAAATGCTAGAAGTTCATAAAAACTGTCCAATATCCTTTAGCTGCATGTATATTTTCAGTCAGTTTTGCTTTGTGTACATCAGCCTTTGCAAAAACAATACTAGCAGAAGTAATGAAGACTAGAGATTAGGATGAATCCTGTTTCAAGCTGACAACAAAAATCCTTGTAGTTGGCTTGATATGACATTAAGATCTGGAGAAGCTGTGAGTGGCTGCAGGAAATTCTTCACCTCTGAGAGATGAAGGTGCCTAAAACAGCCAGACTCGTCCATAGGAATGCCTATAACAGCAGTAATAAGTGATTTGTGATTGCTGGAAGGGAAAAGTCCCAGCTGATAAATCTGTGTTAGGGGGAGCTGGGCACCAACTTTATCATAAAGCTGAGCTACACATAACATTTTTTGTTGACTGAAACAACTAGGCTTTCACTTAGGTTTCTGCTACTGTTAGCAAATACAGCATAAATTGGCATGCCATAGCCTACATAACCAGTCCCAAAAGAGTTGGGTTTTTTACTGAGTTTACTGGATATTTACCCAGAATCTTAGGATCCATGATCTTGGATGAGCGTAATTATAGATTCACAGAAATGTTGGTTGGAAGGGTGTCTGAAGATCAGCTAGTTCAAAGTCATGCTCAAAGTGGGACTGTCACCAGCTCTACACTTTAACATGTTTCTGTTGGAGTTTCTGGGAAATTTCTCAATAGCTGTGACAGAAATGCTGATGTAAAATTCATGCTCTTTCTCACAGCTCTGCCATGGTGTCACTGTTGGGCCTTAACTCTTATCAGTGACTAAACAGCTCTGTTTGCAGTAATAATGAACCTGAATGTGTTGTTCCTTAGCTCATTAATGCTTGAAAAAACACTGTGAGAGCCTCAAAGGGAGGACAGTATGTATAAGAAATGTAAAAATATTATTGAAGCTGACATAGAAAACTACTGACATTAGTTTGCTGGAGGCTGCATGGCTCCCTACACATTGTGATAGTCACAGTCCATGAGTCTATCTAATGTGTAGCTATATCTGGAGAAACCTAACATGCATCCTCCAAATTCTCCAGAAGTTCTGTATGAACTACCTTCACCATGCATTACAGAAATGTATAGAGCCTGGTAAAAGCTGTATTGTGTTAGGTGTATTACAAACCCTTACAGAAACGCATTTCCTTCTCTAAATACCTTGGAGTTTAAGAAGTAAGCTCTCTCACAAAGTAGGGTGCATATTATGTATGGCTTTATGTACAATTGCAGTAAAAAGGTATTATGCGGGAGTACAGCTAGAACTGTCTATCCTCATATGCTACAAATCCTCTATATTGTTAATCAAATGATTTCTCTGAGGACTTGGTATGCTCGATTTTGATACAGTTAATTAAATGTGTGTGTAAGTACATGTCACATGTATGACATTGAGTTCTACCTACCTGACAAATGTTTGTGTAAGAACAGGACCTTTGCTGATTTTATATTTGCTGGGATAGAAGATTAAATTATTCAAATATATTTAGTTGACTCAGTCTCTCATTTTCTGTAGTTAGCTTCAGATATGGAAAGAACTACTGCAGGTAGACCTATCAATTGCAGTTGGAATTACAGAACTAAAATAAATACCAGTACCAGCTGTTGTAATGTGGATATTGGCTTGATGTGGGTAGAGCAGCAGAGATCAATTAAGTGATCTAGGTGAACCACAGGGCAGTTAGAGAGATCGATCCCCGGGTCAGGGTCTATTAGTTCACACATTTAACCATTGTGTAGCCAAAGACAGCAATACTTCTTGGGCTATAGAATTCTAATGGACTGATCTATCAGAGTTGGAAGGAAGTTGTCTTATGAAGGTCTGTGTGGCTACAACTAAACAGATTTTATGCTTCTTGATCAAAATAAAACAAAGAGCTGGTGCAGTTTCAGTATTGTTGAAATATTAAGATCTGACGTGGACAACTGTGGCTCAGGGCCTGGCCTCACCATTACCTGACCAATAGCACATTGATTGAACTGCACTGAAAAGTGGACCTTGGTTTTCTCCTCATTTAACCTGGTCCCTATGTGAAATAAGGGGATTTGATTCATAGAATCATAGAATCATGGAATCGTCTAGGTTGGAAAAGACCTTTAAGATCATCAAGTCCAATAGTTAACCTAGCACTGCCATCCCACCACTAAACCATGTCCCTAAGCTCCTCATCTATCCTTCTTTTAAATACCTCCAGGGATGGGGACTCGACCACCTCCCTGGGCAGCCCATTCCAGAGCCTGACAACCCTTTCGGTGAAGAAACTTCTCCTAATGTCTAACCTAAACCTGCCCTGGCGCAGCTTCAGACCATTGCCCCTCATCCTTTCGTCCATTACTGGGGAGAAAAGGCCGACCCCCACCTCGCTACAGCCTCCTTTCAGGTAGCTGTAGAGGGCAATAAGGTCTCCCCTCAGCCTCCTCTTCTCCAGACTAAACAACCCCAGTTCCCTCAGCTGCTCCTCGTAAGACTTGTGCTCCAGACCCCTCACCAGCTTGGTTGCTCTCCTCTGGACATGTTCCAGCAAAACATTGTCTTTCTTGTAGTGAGGGGCCCAAAACTGAACACAGTATTCAAGGCGTGGCCTCACCAGCACCGAGTACAGGGGCACGATCACTTCTCTATGCCTGCTGGTCACGCTATTCCTGATACAAGCCAGGATGCCATTGGCCTTCTTGACCACCTGGGCACACTGCTGGCTCATATTCAGCCGGCTGTCAACCAGTACCCCCAGGTCTTTTTTCACCAGGCAGCTTTCCAGCCACTCTTCCCCGAGCCTGTAGCGCTGCATGGGGTTGTTGTGACCCAAGTGCAGGACCCGGCACTTGGCCTTGTTGAACCTCATACAGTTGGCCTCGGCCCATCGATCCAGCCTGTCCAGGTCTCTCTGCAGAGCCCTCCTCCCCTTGAGCAGATTGACATTCCTTCAGGAGCCACTTCAAGTAAGATTAAACTGAGGTCTGCAATGAAACCCAGCCCTTCCCAGGCTTCTGCAGTACTTACAACACCGTGGGTCTTGGAGGCTTGCAGTCCTTTTTGCCTCTGTTGCCTTCTGCTGTCAGACAGGAAGTCTGCTCTGAACTTTCTTGTTAAAAAAACAATGTCCCTCAGTTTGCTGCTGTTTGATATTCAAAAATGCTAAAATAAATACTCCACATCCTATATTGGCTATTTTGCTCTTTTGGAGCATAATCTCTGATAATCAGTGTATTTTCATGCATGGAATTATGATAACCAGTAAACCATATTAATTGTTGCTATGATTTTCTCACTCCAATTTAGTTCAGTACAGTACAGAGCTAATTTTGAATAATTTTACTGGATTTAAATTTAAAACTTTTAAACAATTATCTATTACTGTCATTATTTATCCATAGTGTAGGTACAAGAACTGAATGAAAGGCCTGGAAAAGGTTAATGTTGGGGGTGTAAAGAAAATGTCAAAGGATTTTGTGTTTCTTATGTTCTTTCTGTAATTCTAAGAAGGGCTATGCATGCCATTTGGATACAAAGCTGAAGATTTACTTAGAACCCAGCCCAGATGATCACACTAAAAAATATTGTTTCTTCTTCTCCATAACAGTGAAGAAAATATGAAAAACAACATTGTCCTTACTTTGTAGTCAGCACTTTCTGAACTGATCTGATGTGTTGAGAAGTTACATTCCTGGATTGTTGCTATTAAAATGGCTTGCACATCCAAAAAGGAAGATAACTAACTATATACCTGGAACAGGTTGTGAATAGTGCAATCTTTTTCTCTAATCATCGTCCTTGTACCCTCTATTCTCATATCTTCTTCAGCATTGTGTACAAGTTTTGACCTTCTAACCACAATTTCCATTTGCAACTAAATTCTATGTATAAAATATACAAAGTGCCTGATCCCAAGCTCAGCAAAGCCTTTGGGATTCTTTCCACTGACTTCAGTACAGTTTGGATTGAGCCCCCCAAAAAATTAATGCTGAGTAATTCCACAATGAAAAGACAGTGTAAACTCAGGGTTCCTGGATTTCTGCCACCAGCTGTAGATAAAGCAGAACAATTGCAGCAGCAGGACTCTTTTATTGCTATCATTAAAGTAACAGCCCATGTCTTGTTCCCTTTTGGGCCATAGAGAGCTGGGAACACTGTGGGACCATCCGCATTGTGCTACCCCTGCAGCAATGTAGTAGAGAGCTCATGCAGACTGGGAGACGGAGTGCTGCCTGCAGGACTTAAGCTGTCTTTCTATTTGACAATTTTCTGGTGGTCTTTGTAAAACATGAGGACAGGGAGCAGGTAGCAGCACCCAGTAGAAGCAACAGGCTTTAGCTACATGAATCGTGAAACTTTCACCTACAACATTTATGTGGAGCAAGCACTTACATATTGTCTATCCTGAACTGTAATGTATTACCATATGATATCATATTGTCAACAACTATTTAAACCAGGAAGGTAGCTATCTAAAACCAAAATGAAACCAAAATGAAAGCCTAATAATAACATCAGGACAAGAATCTGATTGCGAGCAGCCAACATGGATTTGCTAATGGCAATTCATTCTTCACCAAAATGATTGCTTGTCTGTGGGCAAGGGATGGGCACTGGTTGTTGTACACCCCGACTTTAACATGGCTTCTGATGCAGTCTCCCATAGTCTTGCTACCACCAAACCGATGACCTATGAAGTGGATAAGCAGATGATAAAATTGTTGGAAAATTGGCTTAATTGATGTACTCAGAGGGTTGTGATTGGCATTAATGAGGCTGCTTCTGGAGTACTTTGTCCAGCTGTGAGATCCCCAGTAAAAGGAAGTTATTGACATAATGGAGCAAGCCCCGTGCAGGGCTGCCAAGATAGTCAGGGGACTGGAGCACTGAGAAAACTGGATCCGCTCAGCCTGGAGGAAAGAAGGCTAAGGAGGGGCTTTGTTGCTGTCTACAACTACCTAATCAGAGGATACAGAGAAGATGGAGGCACCCTCTTCTTGTGCGTGTATGGCAATATTACAAGATGTAACAGATACCTGTTGGAATATGGGAATTTCCAAATAAGGAAAATCTTTTTATCCTGATGATGCTCAAATACTGGAACTAATTGTCCAGAACAGTTGTGGCATTTCCATCCTTAGAGGTGTTCAAGACTTAACTGGACAAGTGCCTGAGTGACCTGATCCAATTAGACCTGTATTGAGGATGGGGTTGGACAGGATTATGTCCAAAGGTCCCTATCCACCTTCATTATTCTGATTCTGTGATCGAATTATGCAGAAATGCCTGAGCTAATGCTGAGCTCACTAATTCCAGGATAGGAAGCAGTAAAATAGCATTGCTATTGCACTGCTCTGTTCAGGCTTCTTGAGGCTTGCAGCTCATTAGCTTAGGTGCTGCTCCAAGTGGCTATGCTGTTTTGGGGCTCCATGCTAGTTTCACTGATTGGAGACAGCAGCATGATCAGAGCTGACTTAGAATCACTGCATAGTGTAATTCAGACATGTCCAGAATATAATTGTAACTTCAACTCTACGACAGGATGAGTGTGGTCAGACAGATTCACCATCTTAGAATGCCAGTGACGTATTGGAGTACAAAATCTTCATTTTGATCTTTATCATACTGAGGAGAAATTGCTTCAGGCTGCAATATTTGGTGTCATATTTTTCAAATTAAAAATGAGAGTCAGTTAATTAAAGTTTTGAAAGCATTCTGAGATTAACATAAAAAGTGTAAAATAAATGCTAGGTTTTGTTATTCCAGATGTATAACAAAAATCAGAAGTAGAGAGCCTTTTCTGTGGCCCTATTTGTGTTTTTCTCCCCATAGTTATAAAGGGATGCTTTAACTGTGTATAGATTTCCAAAAATGTATATGTGCCATAGATTTGGTATTTGAAATAACCTGTTCCTTAACCACTTTTTTAGCCACTACTCAATGATACAGATGAAATTTTGAACTTTACTGGAATTAAAGGACTGCCTGGGCCTCCAGTGAGTATATGCCGCTTTATTAAATCTCCAGATTTTCTCTGTTGTCACTGTCTCCTTTTAAGTATCAGCTCAGAGATGAGTTTCCTATGCTTCAGAATTGTGTTCATGCTAACTTCAGCACTAAGCTCTGTAGAAGGACTTCAGGGCAGAACTGAATTCTGTGTGAATGAATTGCTTTTACACATTTGTATGAAAAAAAGGAATCAGCTTAGCTCTGAATCTGAACTGTACACTCAGAATGACAGAAACGTAGAACCTACGCAAAAATAGGGACTAAGATTTACACAGCATTTCTTCCATTTTTTTCTTGTTTTTCAAGTCATAAAATGTTGGGATAAAGTATTTTGCTCAGTTCTGCTTGAGACTGCAACTAGGAATGCTAGGTTCCTGTGTGAATTTAATCTCACAGCAATTATAGCTGTGGATGAAAAGCTGGAGATTTCATGAGAGAACAACAGGTGTGGAACTTCAGGTTCTGTTTTGCAGCAAGGAGTATAGCTGGAAAAAAGTTCAGTCGAATATTTGAAGTTCTGAATGCTTCTTGGTAATAATTTTGAATTCCTAGGACTGGATCCAAAGAGAATTTTACCTTTTTCAGGCTCTGGAGTCTCTTCAAACTTGCCTGAAAGTCCTCAATATATTGTGCTTTGCAAAATTTTGATCCTCCCAAATGAAGCATCTTCACATCTAGTTTCATTTGTGGGCTGTTGTTTGTGTATTTTGTTTTATCTGTTTTCTTGCTTGTGAGCATATTTCTCTCCCTCATATTCAATCCCTGATAAAACAAGGAAGACCAGAATGTGTGTACCTGATAGTAGAATTTCACTCTACATAGCCATAGTTGGAAAAAACATGTATCTTATTAATAGAACTGTCTCAAAACAAGTATTTACTAAATCTGTCAGTGAACTGGGCAGAAGGGCATTAGCTCCAAAACCAGCTTTTAACCTTTATCTGTTAGCCCAACATGCCTCTTTTCCACTTGTCACATAGTAGGATGGCATCATATGATTGTGGCTGCATCCAGCTGTGCTTATGGTAAAACAGCTTTCATGGAAGAGTATTTTGATGTATTTCCCAAAGATCTGATTCTCCTAATCCCTGGACATAATAGGATGCCAGGGTAGGATGGGCACTCTTGCGTGAGCTCTGTTACTGCAGGTAGTTGCTATCCAAGCCTTAGATGACAGGTTCTCAAAATAACATAGACGAGTGGGCTCATGAGCTCAGCAGAAATGCATTGGTTTGTAACAGTTGTTAAGAAAGTTGTAGGTCCTGTAGCTCCAACTGCAGTCTCTGAGCTCATCCTGGTCAGGGAACAGGTGCAGTCTCATAGTGGCTCTGGTAATACGCATCCAGGCGGCCTGAACTAGAACTAATATATCTTTCTGCAGATATCACAGTGGGGCAATCTTAAATATTCCCAGTATAAATCCAAATCCGTGATTCTATTCACAGCCTATTATACACTCTATTTTCTACCCACAGACAACCAGGAGAAAAATGGCAAAGGTGGGAGGGCTACTGTGATCTCCATGCTGGAATCTGGAAAAGATTCAAAGTAGGCTAAATTACGGTTGCATGCCTTTCATATGTGGAAAATGCCACCTTTCTTCAGCCTTTCCTAGATCTATGTCCCTCCCATTTTGGAAAGTAAATGCTAATGTCCCAGAAAAAGTTAGAAGCACAGGGCATTGTGCAGTCTTCACAACTTTACCACAGGCTGAATAAAATTCTTAATCCAGTTTCAGATCAGTTAACATTCACAAATTATGCAATACATAGAAAATGCATACTCTGTTTTGCAAGTCTGTAATATTTGTTTGCAAGGGGGTGGTTTTTTTGCATTTTGCAGGGGCCAGATGGCAAGCCAGGTCTACCAGGATTTCCTGTAAGTATTATGTTGCTTATATTTAAGTAAGTATTTTTCAATATAGTTTAATATTTTAAAAATTTATATTGTACAGAATTTACACAAAGTCTAATAGATGTTCATATGGGAGACTGTAGGTCTTTATGGAATCAACAGCTATGGTAGAAATTAACTCTGCTGGAGACAAAGCATGCTGTGATATGCACATTTCGTATTTCTGCTTATCTCAGAATCGGTGTAAATCTAACTGTAATTGACTCTGATGAAAAATTATGACCTAAAGAAAAGACCTATGCCATTTATGAGAAACAAATGGAACAAATGAACTTCTAAAAGTTATCTTCATATGTATATGTAATTGTATGATTCTTTAGTCTTTTTTTGTCACCACTACAGTGTACAGTAAAGCCCTACCCTTTTTATTTTATCCTTTAGGAAATATTTATTATTTTTTATAATAACATAGTGGTGCCACCATAGAAGCATTGCACAGCCATAGTATCAAAAGGTGCCTCATATTATGACACCTACCTATTCTGCTCAGACTGCCACACCTTATAAACATTATCTGCCTTGTGACTTCATACAGGATTGATTATACTACTATATTTATATTCTATATAATGTGATAGAGTTATTTTCCCTTGTCATGATTGTTTTACAGTGCAGATGTGTGCATATGGTCTCAGGATATTTTTTCTATTGCCTGAGAATTACTAAGAAGAAAACTGGGAAAGCTGACAAATGATGTTGACAAAATGCTGGCAAATTGCCCAAAACTCTACAGAAGGTTGTTTACTAAGTCCTGGGTATTGTGGACTGGACAGGAAGCCAAAGAAAGGGGGGAAAAGCTCCTTAAAAATACTTTATATTTGAAAAAGAGCTGACAACATTTAGAAAGTGATATAATGAATTCTTAGTCTCTCTGTCATTTACAGAATTCCTACAGACATGAAAATACCATTCTTGTTCTTATCTCAGGTCTTTTCTTTATCTATTCACTAATGCAGAAATCATGTAGACTTGAATTTAGTTCTTGGTGGGTAAAAAAAAAAGCTTCTGAATGCACTTATAATGGAAGACTGTAAAACAAAATGTGATCTGAGCAGAACACTTTTACTACAGAACAGACAGAAATGATCTCATTTTCAAATATATAAACTCTATTTCCCATAAAAATATTTTTAAAGTACTGTTAAAAATATAGCTTCAGAAATTCTGCTGAAAATCAGTCTGACCGAGTGATCGTGGAGGGAGAAAGAATTGAGTAGGGAGGAAATAGAGAACTTTAGGCTGAATTTCCACTCCTCTTTGTGAGTGTGTGTGTATCGCCTACACTGTAACAAACAGCAGGGTTTTTTCTTTTGTTCTTTGATTCAGACAGCAATTTAGTCTTGTAAGGGTTCTTAGATTGCAACCAGAGTGATTCAAATTCAAGTTTTCCAGTTATTTAAAATTACATTTATTAAAATGGCCTAGCTCCATATTCTTAGCAGATCTCACCATGGCTTTATGTACTTGGTTTTGCTTAGGGCCCTCGGGGACCAAAGGGTGATACTGGTTTGCCTGGATCACAAGGACTCAAAGGACAACAGGTAAGAGAAAATGCCTAGGGAAAAGTACATGCTGCAAAATGTGTTAGATGGCAAATACTTTGTGACATTTAAAGTTTAATGATTCTAATTTTATAAGGGATTGGGATGTTAATAAGTTCATGTTAAAAATTTACTAAGTGGAAATTGAAAGAGTGCTAAACAAAATACCTTGATGTAATCCTACTGAGAGCTAATGTTCCTGCCCCAGTGTTGAAATACTGCAGTGCACTTATCACTTCTGCAGAAATACTTCTGCACTTGTCAGAATAAGTTTACATAAACATTAAGCATGAGGTGACCTCTTCTTGCAAGTTCATTGTCTGTGCTGACACCCTGGGATCCTAACTGAAAGGCCAAATAAAAAAAGGTTAATCTTTTCCTCCTCCTTCAGCATAGAGGGCTTTGCCTACAGAATGAAGACTGCAGTTTTCCATTCCCAAAGAAAGTATAATACTTGGGGAGCTCTGTCCTTAGGATCCTTTCTCTTATTTCTGCACAACAATGTTTATTTTCTAGCACTGCTGAGAGGTGACTAAGGACTGACTCTGCTATTTTGTAAATACTGCAACTGTTGTTCTGTTTTTCTTCCCCTTCTAATCCACCTGCAGGAAGCAGGGGAGAGGAACATCTAAGTTATTACAATCTTGGGGATAACAAAAAGAAAAACAAAAACACTTTCTGCTTATTCTTTGTAAGTAGCTGACCTCACTTTCTCACAAGTAATAGGATGGCTTGGAAATGGTTAATTATGGCTTGAAATGGGATTTTAGATGAACAGCATCTTCATTGCTCAGAAGGAAATATCTCAGGCCACAAATACCAGTCCCCTTTTGTCATAAGGATTCCTGTTGCTTTATGGAGTGCATAAAATGATCAAACTCAACCTTAAAACCAGTTGGGTGGGTTTTGGTTTGTGTTTGTGGGTTCTTTTTGTTTGTTTGTTTGTTTGTTTGGGGGGGAGGAGGGGGGGGCGTCTTGGCTTCTGCTGTCCACACTGGAAGGAACTCAAACCTTTGACGCCATTATATTTTATATCCACATAAGTGATGTTTCTGAGGCTGATTCTGAGGCGTGAACACCAGGTTATGCTCAAGAGTGATGAAGCTGGGAACCACAATAAAGCTGCAAAGACACCTAGAAGCATTTTGCTTTAAGGATCATGAGATGCTTCTGCTGCAACCTCAGGTCCATAAAATAGGTCCATAAAAACCACAGAAGATAAAGTCAATGAAGCCAAGCCTTAGGGAGACTCCAAAAATTTAAGAACCTGCAAGAGGAACTGAGTTATAGCACTTCCTGCTCAGTGGAAGTGCTATAACCTGGACTGTCATTTTAACCAGCAATGCAACTGTTAGTTTCAAGCCAGATTTCTTCCATTAGAGATCTTGGGAAAGCTATTGTGCCAAGCTGCCTTAGCTAGGAGGAGGAAAGTTACAGCTGAAAGTGGGAACCATGCACTGGCACTGAGCAATGACAATTCATGGTTGTGGTGACGTTATTCAATGGAATTACCCCTTGAAGAAGTGGAATGCAGAGGGTCATAATTTGAATGCTGGGAATTGGCCTTTATTAAAGGTAATGAGGCTGCATCATGCCAGGCGTATAGAGAGAATAATTCATGCTTTCCTGATAGTAACATCAGGACACTTAGTGTTCTATCAAGATTTTACATTTCCAGCAGGATCAATGTCTAAGCTGATGGTACACAAAAAGACACCTTTGGCAGCAATCACTTGTGAACACAGCATGTTTCACATAGTTACTCTATTGAGAGCAATTAAGACTTTTTAAAAAAAATAAGTACTTATTCATCTCACAGAGGCTTACAGGAGCAGGATATTTTTAGTGTACTTTATTATGTTTTAAGGAAGATCAGACTTTTTCTCCCCCAGAATCAAGCTTCGCCCTTACTCACATTGATATAATTTTATGTTTAATATCACAGCATGACTAATCTATCATGCTTCAAACCACAGTAATGTTGCTTTGACTTCTTCTGATTCATTGAGAACTGCTTTGTAAATTCTATAGAATTACTTTGATAATTGCAGGGTGAAAAGGGAGAACCAGGAGCTATCATTGCTGCTGATGGATCTTTAACTGAATTATTAGGAAGAAAAGGGGACAAGGTGAGTTAATACTGTTCTGTGTTCCTCCAGAATGTTTGGTGGCCTTGTTACCAGCCACCTCTGCTGGATACTACAGGAGTTCTCCTTGTAATTGCTCTACGTGTGTCTGTCCTCAACAGGGTGAAGCTGGAGTGGTGGGGCCGGTGGGACCAATGGTAAGGCATTTCCAAAGATGGGTGGATTGTTTTTTTTATTTTGCTTTGGTTTTACAGGCAATAGTAAATGTAAAGGTAGTTTGTTTTACCTTTTCATTCCTTCTGAGTAGGGATGATAAGGAGTATTTGTGCTTCAGGATGATCAATGTCCTTCATAAAAGAATGTGGTTGTTAGATATGTGGTGCTGTATACTACTGACTTGATTCAGAATTTAAATTCTGGTAACACAAATGTATCCATTACTATCTAAACAGACAGTGAAATATCATCAGAGCTAGAAACTTACATAACTTATGACTCTGAGTGAGCTAGGTTTGTTTAGCCCTGAAGATAAAAGGCTGAGAGGTGCTCTAGCTGCTCCCTGCTACTCCCTGAAAGGGAATCATAGAACAGACAAAGTCAGGTCCTTCTCAGAGGTACACAGGAAAAAGACAAGTGCCAATGATCACAAGTTCCAGCAAGGGAAATTCAATTAGATTTAAGGACAAAAATTCACAGTAAAAGTGATTGAACACAGAAGTAGGTGCTCAGAGGAACAAGGTGCTGAGCAGCATGACCTAAATTGGAAGTTCGTCTTGCTTTGAGCAAGAGGTTGTACTAGATGATCTCTAAAGGACTCTACCAATCAAAATTATTCCTTATTTCTGAGATTTACATCAAAGCAACTGACTACATCAGGCTCAATTTCTGTCAGTGCCAATAATTTGCAACTGCCTTGGATTCTCAGGAAGCTGCAAATCAGGCAGTAGAGTCAGACCATTTACTGAGATCAGGATTTAGAGGCCTTCTTTCAGGTACTTGTCAATATTTTTGACTGGACACAAAACGTTGTATCAAAGCACAATAAAATAAGAACAGTTGCCCAGACTCAATAGTATTAGAGCAGGAATTAATTTCTTCTAGTCTATTATTCCAAAGATCAAGGATATTGAGTGTTTCTTTACTTCTGCCTTTGATGTAGCCTGGTCTCTGTTGTGCCTAAGTGAATGTTAGTAGGTGGTGTCGTTTCTTGTGCACCAAGGTGTGTAGCTGACTTTGCCATCAGTTTCTGTGGTCTTTAAAAGGAGCTAACTGCGTGTGTTGAGTAACTGCTTTCTTAATTACTGTTTATCAAAATGCCTTGAGGGAGCTATCCTAACTTAGCAGAAGGGGAGTTCCTTTTCTCCTTCTTTGTATGACTGCAAGATGAGTCTATCCTTTCTCCTTCACATAGAATTGTAAAATAATTTGGAATGGAAGTGAGCTTTGGAGATTATCTAGTACACATCACTGCCACTGGTCTATTTAGCTCAGGGACTTGCCCAGTTGGGTTTTTAACAACTCTTAGGATAGAGATTCCACAGCCTCTCTAGTCAGCACATTCTAGTATTTGACAACCTTCTGGGTAAAAAAAAGTTTTTCCTTATATTTATTTGGAATTTCTCATGTTCTAGCTTGTGTTCGTTGCCTCTCATCCTATTGCTATGCACCCTTTAGGACATGGCCTTTTTCTATCAGCCCCAAACGCTGTGTTTACTGTCACACGATGCTTCATATGTTCAGCATGCAAACAAGGCCATTCAGAGGAAGTTTTTGCCAGCACTGGTGCGAATGATTATGCTGCAGGAGAATTTGGCACACAGAACTTGTCTCAAGACTTTGCTCAGCCAGTTCCTCTTGTTAATGCAGAGCTCTAGTTTGATCATTGCTGCTAATGGGGATGATTCATTTCAGTGTCATCCCATAGAAAAAAATCCCTTTGTAGTCAGTGGGAGTCCTGTGCAGCAAGAATATATAGACTTCAGAGTGCTGGGCCAGAGCCTCTGTGACATAACTTATCGAAGTTTATGTTACAATGCTTCTGTTCCACTTTGCACAAAGTAAGACTCTGGCCCAAGAACAGCTTTGAGGTAGCTGGGGACTCTGATCGTTCCTCTGTGCTGTTAGGCACAAAGAATTCCTACACGGGTTTCCAGAATTTAAAAAAAAATCCCTACTCATTGCTCCCCTCCTTTTCAAGACTTCAGCTGGACAGAAAAAAGGTTCATAGGAGCTTGAGCACAAGGACATACAGAGAAGTAGTTGTTTGGCAAATGAGAGCTAGGGATAGTCAGGAGGTTAGTACTGTTATTAGCAAAATCAGAAGAAACAGACTGAATCCAACCTCCTGCCACAGAGGAAATGAGAATCTTTTTTACCTGCTCGATTATGCTGTTCACTGTCAGTGAAGCAGACCGCTGCACATTACTGAATAGGAGCCCTTAGTAGCAACCACAGTGTCAGTCTGCCCACATCAACTCTCTGCTGTTGTAAATGAAATTTCTGCTTCTGGTAAGCAGTCTCCTGCGGCTTCCTCACTTCCTTCTTTCGCTTCTAGCTGTGACTGCTGGCTTCTGCCTCAGGGAGTCACTAACATCTGTCAGGGGTGGGCTGGCACTTTGGCAGAGGAAATAGTAAAGGTGGCTCCAGCATGGTCAACTCTCACATTGTTGATGTTTATTTAAAGTCCCAGTTAAAGCATGAGATCCAGACACTCTCTTTATTTAAACTAATTAGAAAGTCTGTTTCTAATCGCCTTCATTGCTCAGTAAAGCTCAGATTTGCATATTCTTTAAAGGCTCTAAAGGCTTTAAAGTGAAACAGAAAAATGCCCCACAACATTTTGGATTTTCTTTTTTTCAAACCACATTATCGGGTATGGTAGCACGGAAGGGTGGGCTGAATCATTTTGAAAGCTTGAGGGCACAATATGGAAGTTCACATCTGCCAGAGTCCACCAGCAATCTATTGCCTGCTTCAGACACAGTCATATCTTTGATCATATGGGCAGAAATTACCTTCAAACAGGAAAGATAAATCATCTCATCATCATCAGATAAATTTTCCATGAATGTGCCTGACTTTTCAATGAAATTATTTACGTATTAGGCAAGGACAAACACTTGCCAGTTTCGATAAAAAAAAAGGTTTTGTTAATTGAAAACAGTATCAATATGGCAATGGTTTAATTCATCAAATGTAGTGGTAAGAGACTGGTATTTGAATCCAGATGGTATTCCTGTGTCAACATTATGCCTATCAGATGAGAAACAAAACTCTGATTATGCAAACCATCCAAGTATAAACATCAGGCTATTTTTTGCAACCTTTCTAGCTCTTCACTTGCCCATGCTCCCTCTATGCATTGAAATGAAAGATAAGATGGCAACAGAACTGAACTGTAAGTAAGGAGACTCAGTTCTGCCACAGGCTTCCTTCCTTCTTAGTCTCCACTTTCCTTAATAATCAAGAACAAGTGAGTGGCAAGATGGGGATTTCCTCTTGGTTTTTGATTGTTTGCTAGTTATCCTTTGAAGTAGCAGTCACAATGCCAACAAATGTTTGTTACCATTAAAGTGATGTGCTGAAATTGTGGTAAGCAATGCAATAGCCAATGCCTTCCTTCCATCAGCATAGGTCTATGTTAATCACCATATTGCAGGCAGCAATAGAAAGTATGTTACAATAATCACACCTAAAGTACTGTGATTTCTCAGGACCGAACACGTCAGTTGTCACATATAAGTGGTATCTGCATGACGTACATAGATAGAGATTATTTAACCAATAATGCAAGAAGAGGTATCTCTCAGCATTTCACCAGACTGAAAAAAAGGAAATTAAACCAGAAAGGTTGATATATATGTAAAGAGATTGTCTAGACACTTGTGGTTTTGTTGAGTTTCAGGAAGCTGACAGCAGATGAAAGTTTGTGGTATTCTTAGGTTTGCTGCTTTTTGTTGATCACTTGCTGGCTGCCTAGAAGTTGCATGCTTGCAAATGCCCAGTCATAGATCATCTGTAGTCCTGGACCGCTTTTCCCAGGCAGCCTGCTTGCCCTTTCTTTTTGCAGTCACTTGTATCAATTTGTGAGGCCTGATGGGTCAGTCACTCTTGTATAAAAGAGGATCTGTTCTGTTTCAACTATCAGCCCCATAAATCCACATACGCAAGCTGGCAAGAGGCATGTAGAAGCCTGGCACTATATGAATTCTCAGGCTGATCCACAAACATTTTCTCATAAGGCCCGATGCAAAAACAATTGGAAAAACAAAGCAAACAAAAAGACATGCACAAAGCATACACCACTAACTGCCTTTTTTCTACTGATTGATGCATTTAATATTCCTTTGATACATGGTGACTCAGTTTTGAATTGCACACACGACAAATGGCTGAGAAATCAGACTTTGTTTCAGATAACCAGTCTTTTCCAAGCAGAGCTGACTGTTATATACAGGCTTCTGATATCTCTCAGCAGAGCAAGCAGAGAGGACATTCTGTGCATTCTCTGCAGACAATCACAGACTGGTTTCTAACACAAATATAAAACTGCCTCATATTCTAAATAATCAAATATATGTCAAAGATATGTTCCATATGTTCTTCATAATCACTTTTCTTTTTTGTCCAGGGACCAATAGGACCTACTGGACCTAAAGGAGAACTTGGTTTCCCAGGACGTCCAGTATGTATTACGCTCTCAAGTGGACTAAGGACAGAGGACTTTGCTTCTGACACATATGACATTATTTCTACTTATTTCAGGGCCGCCCAGGACTGAATGGACTGAGAGGTGTGAAAGGTGATCGAGGTGAAGCGTTTAATGTAAGTTCTTATGTATTGCAATTAATTGGAAAAAAATCCTGATAAAATCTTAAGTCAAGTCTGATTGTCAAGCTTTATATGAATTCATTTAAAATGATGACGGGACTAAAAACCTGAAATTACCTAGAAATAATTATGTGTTTCTGCTACTTTGCCTATCTGGTAACAATCACTGAAAAGCTAACTTCTGCATCCATCTGAATTGTTCTTGTGGATATACATAGTTGTATCAGCCCCTGAGTGTAACAGCTGTATGTGTGATTCACTGAGAGCTGGTTCAAATAGCAAATGGTCTGGGACTGCCAATTCTTTCTATATTTGAAAAACTTCCTGATGTAGGCCACCAGTATGACCTCTCATGGTGTGAAGATACTCCCATATGCTCTTAGCTGTCTAGCACAGGTACAAACAGCACTTGAGCATATCACAGTGAAGTGGCATCTACTCTGCTAACAAGGAGATGCTTGCTAATACCTACTACCTGCTTTAGTTGCCATGTACACATACCCAGAATGACCACTGCATAGATGATAGCATATCCATGCCCACTTACAACCTGTCATTATGGAATGACAAGTGATGAACCAAGGTCCTGGTGCTGCAAGTCTGTTCTTATGAAACTACTTCATACAAGTGGTTTCACAGCAAGCTTGAAGACTGGACTACACAACAATAAACACTGTTGAGCATAAGCTGTGTTTCGCAATAGCAAAGTAATTTGTGTGGCTGTTCTGATGTCATGGGGCAATCTGTGCTAGAAAAATTGGTACCCATACTGCAACAGCAGCTAATAATATTTCATCTGCCTCAGAGAGATGCTGAAAAAAAAAAAAGACAAGGGTATTTTACTGTGTTAGCATAGAAATCATGAGGTAGGGATCAGGTAGGAATCAGAAGAGGTGATCTAGTCAATCTCACTGTATTTCAGTAGAGCATTTTTTGTAAATAAATTCTGTTGGAGGAGTCACCTGGTTCCACTTTGTTTAAAACAAAAAACAATATACGGCACACAAACTGCAAAACACAAGTATGTTGTCTCCCTGGACAAAAAGTACAAACAGGGAGACTGAGAATTGGTAAGTATCTAAGTATCTTCACAGAAACAAAAGACCAGGTATTAAAGGTTGCTTACACATCTAGAGAAAGGTGTAAATAGAAGTTTAATTGCTGGAAGGTAAAACCAGACAAATTAGACAAATTCTAATTGAAAGAAAGTGACAGAAAAGATGACTAGCCACAGGGTGAAGATATTAAAGTAGATTTTCCATTCCTCCATGTATTCAAAAAGTGACGAGGTTCATTTTCTGGATTGTCTGCCTTAACCAAACAAAAACTATTAAAACAAGTATAACTAGATGAAGTACATCAGGCTGGGAGATTAAAGCAAACAAGCAAACAGAACAGGCTACATGTTCTAATAGTCCTTCCCAGAGTGCTCAGGGAAGATAAAATGTAATGGGTCTCTATTGATGACATGGCATGTGTCACCTCACAGAAGTTTGCATTGATGTGGAGTGAAAGATGGACATGGTGTGGTGCCAGGTTTTTAAATGACACAGTAAAAAGTTGGCATATTTTTTTGTAAAGGGCAATCACGCCTCCAGTCTAGCAGGGTTCCTTGAAGGTGCTAATTAGCATCTAGTTATCTGACTGGTACTTGAAAGTATATGAATCTCAGCAGCCTTGAGAATCCCAGACCAGTCTGAGATACCTAATTTTCCTTGGATAAGAGATCCAAGATAAAAGATAAGCCTTTAATTTAGCTTCAATTTTTAGTGCTTTGGGGTATCTGGTTTGGGGCTTGGGTTTTTTTTTTTCCCCTGGTAAGAACAAACTTAGACCATTTTGTTCCCCACAGAGTGCTTTAGGTTAAGTATTAAAACTCATCTGACATGTTGGTCCCTGTAACTGAATGTTCACTCTCCCCTCAAGCCATTTAACACAAGATGTCTTGGTTAAATGGGGCCATCTGAGCCCCCTGGCCTTCCTTCTGTAGGCTCAGTTGTATTGCATAAGAAAAGATTTGTCTAATATCTTCCTTCTTTCACTTTCTCTTACAAGGGCCTTCCTGGCTTGCCTGGACCCCCAGGACCCCCTGGACCTCCAGGACGTATAGTTTATATCAAAGGAGTAAGTACAACTGGGGATCAGTTGCCAGTCTATCTCTGTAGCAGAAATGTGATGCTCTAGAAACTGTTTGCAATGGGAAACATCAAAACTTGTTTCAGGCAACACAGATTTCAGTGGGTGACCTTGCTTGTGTGCATAGGAAAAAAATCTCTTAACTGGAGCCACTGTCATGTAAGAGTTTTGCCCTCCCCCCACCCCCAGAGTGGGACCTGCTGACGGGCCTGTGAGAGCTCCCAGGCAGCAAGTGGGGCTCTCTGCTCAGGAGGTGCTGATTTTTGATTCCAGGCTTTGTCCCATCATGTCTATTAGATCCATTTGGTGTGTTATCTACTGTATTAGACCTACGTTCATTAAAATAATTTTCCTTCCTATTTTCAATAGACAGTTTTCCCCGTCTCTCGCAGACCTCATTGCAAAATGCCAGTAAGTCACACACAGAATCTGCTCTTAGCAAAATGCATGGCCATGACAGTACATAACCAAAGTAGCTATATACATAACCACGGTAGCTTTGCAGCTTTTCTCCCCCCTGCCTTTTGCTTTGCACCAGAGATGTGTTTTACCCAGTCTTCAAGATAACAGATTTTCAAGTGTTTAGATACCTGAAATTAGCCATATTTAAAATATATAATAGAACTAGAAACACTAGAACCTTTTGCTTAAAGCATTTTCATTACATGGTTGTCCCAACCCTTTTAATGCCCTTCAAAGCCCATGTTTCCGTAGTTTAAGAGTTGCTTTGGGGAGCTGAATGTTTATACATACATGCACACACATTTTTCAGATGTATATAAAATACTGTCCCTATGTTGTTATGTCTTTAGCTGTTTTCAATTTCCATGTCCAAAATAAGATATTATGCATTTCATTGTGTCATGAAAGATGCATCAGCAAAGATCAAGACTTGACCCTCAAATGCAGTCTGTTCACATATAAACATTTATTATCTCAAGAATGGCAGCAGGTAAAGGTCTGCCCCTGCTTTCTAAATGGAATGACAAAGTCCTCATTACCTTCAAAGGAACTGCAATTTCACACATAGTGTTAAAAGAAAGGAGACGGGGTTTATATTTTCAAAACACCCTGATGCAATTTTTGTTTAATGATTCATGGAAATTACATCCTACAATGAACTGCAAACAGAGTTCAGTCCTGGAAGTACTTTCGCTAGGGCAATATTGTACTGTTAAGCTGTGGGTTATGTACTTGGAAAGGATTCTGTCTTTGAGAGTCACAGTCCTCTCCTGAATAGTGTGGTGTGCAGTATGGTTGTTCTACTTTTCTGTTAGACAGTATAGCTCAAAATAATATTGTGCCACCTCCTCCAATTTTCATTCCAGTTCTCGCTCACTTATCTCAGAGAAACAGCTCTTGACTTAAACTATCCTAGATGCATTCATACTCATGATCACCCTACCCTTACTGCTGAAGAAAGACATATCCCAGCTTATGGGTCTTTATGTTAATAAATAGTCATTACTCTATAGTAATTTGACGTTTCTACAGTTTTGGCCAACCACCTCCAGGCACCACCTTTTTGCCTTTTTGAATTCCTCCCTTAAATCTTCCCATTCCTACCATATAGAAGATCAGGTTTGTGACCGCCTGAGGAATCTGAACGCACATAAGTCCATGGGACCTGATGAGATGCATCCCAGAGTCCTGAGGGAATTGGCCAATGTAGTTGCCAAG